CAGGAGCTGTTATTACTTGTGTCACCAGGTGTTTGGGATTCTGAAGCAGTTACTGACTAGAAAAATCTATGACCCAAGTCTTCCAAGTTCCTTTGGAAGTAGTTAACAAACTGCTAGCAATTAGCTAACAACTCCCTTTTCCGAGATCACCCATGGCAATACGGGGTCAGGGAGCCAACTTTCCTGTGGAGGCTGGGATGGGGGGGGGGGATTCTCAAGACATCAGCCTCTCATCTGTTCATTGGCTGCAATCAGCAGCCTCTACAACTAAGCCAGTGGGAAATCAATAATGTATTTCTGGGCTGTGAAAACTCTAAAATTAATAAGTTTTATTTTTTAAAAAAAAAAAAAATCAACTAAAGTAAGAGGAGCAAGATAGTTCACTTAGGTCTTTCCCATACACTGAATAGACAAACCCAGCCCTGAATCTGTAAAAACTGCTTAATATTTCCTCCTTTACAAAATTATTGTGATGACTAAACAGGGTAATGAGAGTTTGAAGATTATTCTATTTTGATGACCAAGCAAGCATCAGCTTACATTACAAAGCATTCTGCTACTACTAAGAACAATGGCAATCCTACTATACAGTAGGAATGCTTGCAACATTGTTCTGCTCAATAAAACTCATTCCCTTTAACAATTGCAGCCCGTTAGTAATTCACGCAAATCCTGGAATACAAATAATAACATTTAACAGATGTTAATAAGCTAATCAAGAGGGATCCAAAAGAAAAGATTGATTTTCTTCTATACTTAATTTTATTTGGAATTTATTTTCAAATATAAGATCCCAAAGATGGGTGTGTGTGTGTGCAGACATAGCCAACAGCAAGAGACTGAAGCAAGCATTGGTTTCTCCAGAGATCTCACTTTGGGTTTCAGGTGACCACAGAAGGCAATCAGGCATTTGACAAGTGGTCTACATGACATCTGAGGTTTCTGTCTTCTTCGGTGGTGAGAAACCAGTAGTGTGGAGTCAGCATACCTAGAATCTAGAGGAGCTCTGGCCTGGGGGATTAGTATCTTTAAAATACTAAGCACTTTATGTGAGTACAGCATCCCCTTCTAGGGCACAGCCACACGGAGCACGAACTCTAACCTTCAGCACACACAAGTTTCCAGGGTAGCCCACACCCCCAACCCCCAGAGCTGGTTTTTCCATAGCCCTGAAGTAGCAAGTGCCTTAACCCACTGAGCCCTCTCACAAGCCTCACGGCCATGAGAATGCGGTTGTGAGACATCGTTATGGGACTTCTGGTATTGTCACCACTACAAAGTCTGGGCCTAACCCTCAGGCCATAAAAAGGACTGTGGTGTGTTAACTACAAACAGCACAGAAGAAAACCACAGAAGTAACCCAGCACATGCAGAATTCTATGTACTCTGTGATAACTTGTAAACATACCTTTGCTTAATGCATTGATTCACTTACCTTTGAAAACAAGAACCACAGTCCACACACCTAGCAATCCTAGTAACGCCCTGTTGTGGCTGGGACCTACTTCGAATGTTTTACTTTTCAGAATTTTTTAATCTGTCTACCAAACTTCAGAGAGAGACACTATTCTCATCCCATTTTATAGTTCAGAAAAGTTAGACGAAGAGAAGTAAATTGTCCAAGGTAACCCACTGATGTGGAAACATAAGTGCATGGAGTTTTAACACACAAGATAAGAGAGGGGAAGGAGAATCTTCTGTCTGACTTACATAGCTCGTAATTTTTTTTGTTTGTTTTTAAGACACTAAAATAGCTATAAGCATTATCTAATTTTTTATTTTAATTATTTTTTTTTGAGAATTTCATGCATGGGTACGGTATTTACATCATTTCCAGCCCTCTCTTTCCCCTCTGAAAATCTACTGAACCATTTAGGGTTGCTCCTGTGTATATTGTTTATAGAGATGACCACTTGGGTTTGAACCACCTCTCAGAGGGACTCATGGAGAAAACCAATTCTTGTTCTCTCAGTAGTCATTGGCTGCTTATAGCTCCTCACATAGGGGTGGGCCTTGTAAAGTTTTCTCTATCCATATTGTCATGGCAGTGAGTGTTGCTCTGCAGGTCTTGTTTAGGCAGCCATATTCTTAAGACTTCCTGGATGCAGCCTCTCTGTTGCGTCTAGAAGACACCATCTTGAAGCAGGTATCCTGTCCTCTGGCTCTTACTTCTTCAATGTCTCATATAAGCTCTGTTCTGGAGCTTGAACTTCTGATCCTCCTACATCTACCTCCTGAGTGCTGGGATTACAGTTATATACCATGCTCAGTTTCCTGCATGCTAGGCAACAACTGAGTTGCACCCCCAGCTCACACACAGTTCTTTATTTTTCTTTTATATTTAGTTATCTACAAAGGTCTGAGCTTAGAGGAAAAGTAATCTTTCTTCTCCTCTACCCCGTGCCCTTAACCTAATAACAACAAATAACAAAAGCAGAGGTAGCCCCTGTACCCAACACTGAAGTCCATTGTAATCCATGGTGTAATTTGGAAAAGAAGCAATGCATTTCAGGATGAGAGGGAAGGAAAAGAAATAGCTATGTGTTCTCAAGTTCCTGTGCAGAAATCTCTCCACACACTATTAAGGAAACCCTCTATTCAAAGCATAAACCATTCAACTCAGTCTCTATCTTCAGGCAAATGGGCTCCTTCTGCCTCTTAGACAGCTTGGCAAAGCCGACGAGAGCAGCCTGCTCATTCTGCTCCATGGCTTCTTGCATCCCCTGAGCAAACAGGTGTATCCATAAAGCAGCCATTTCTTTCTCTCCTATCTTTGCTAAGGAATCCAAGAACACATGGGTGCAGTGTGACACCTCGTGAGTAGAAGAAGATGTGCAGTTTCCTGATGGCAGCCAGAGTTAGCCACAAGCCTAGAAGGCAAGTTTGCTCAGCCCTTGGGGGCTCTGTGAGCAATGCGTTTGGAGACCAAAGAGGATGTGGTCTCTCCCATGGCCAATGCTAGTCCATCCATACAGAGAAATGACTGACACAGATCTTTATTAGACACAGTATGGCAGTGCTGGAAAACCAGATGCCAAGGTCTTGAACATGGAGCCTGTGGACCTGTTCCTGTCAGTAACTGCTTGAGTGACCTTGCACAAGTCAACTAATTCCTCCAGGCTATAGTCATAAATGAGGGAAGTAAAACAGTGGCTGCAGTGGTCTATTTGACCCTAATGATGTGAGACTACCATCAAGGGGAATCTCCTTCTCTCTGACCTTCACCTGACCCTCAGAATTCAGATCTCTTGATATCACCAGAGTTATCTTGGTAACTAACCAGGCTTCCTCACTCCTGCAATCAGCACACAGAACTAGGCACAGGTGGGTCATTAGGCAATGAGTCTGTAGCACACTTCATTTGTGAATAAGTGAAGGGAGCCTGGCCAACCATCCCGCCTGTTACCTGCCCAAACCAAAACCAAATCCCAGACAGGAGAAAGACCTCACATTCCACTTCCTCTCTGGAATGCAGAGACTTCTGGATACCTGGAATGCAGCAGCAACGTGGATGTTTTTAAAGCCGGTGGCATGGTGGCAGTGAAAGGGAGATGTGCTGTGCCATATCCAGACAAGGAAGACAGGAAGACACAGAGTTTCTCCAGAGACTGGGATCTGCATGCTGTGTGTCTCCAAGTAACATACGCATCTAACAAAAGATTCCTGATGGCTCCATAGAGTCCAGAAGTCATAGAAGAAGGCAAAGGAACCACACGACCCAAATGACAGGATTCTCGAGATAGCTGCTGCCAACACTCTGGCCCTTCTATGTATATCTTCCTCCACTTTATACCTCCAGTGGCTAGTACAGTGGCCAGCAAATGTTTGCTTTGTAACATAATGTGTCCAGAAAGGTGGAAGAGTAACATATTGCCCCCATAGTTGAATTCTGTTTGCATCATTTCCCTTAACTCTCCACGTAAGTGTAACTGAACCCCAATTCCAGAAATAACAAAAACTCTAACACTAGTGCTCTGAGGAGGAGATATAAAAAAAACAATGACACACTTAAAGAATTTCAAAATATTTAGGGCTATAAAGCCTTGGAGTTCAAGCTGAATACTTTGTCTTAGTTTGTGTCTATGTTGCCATCCTGAATAACATGAGCAAAAATGAGTTGGAGGGGAAAGGAATCGCTTGGTGTTTGAGTTACCATCCATCATGAGAAGTTGTGGCAGGAACTCAGGGCAGGACCTGAGGCAGATACGATGAAGGACTGCTGTGCATTAGCTTACTCTCCATGGCCTGCCCAGCCTGCTTTCTTATACAACTGAGAACCATCCCCGCTGGGCGGGGTCCTCCCACAATAATCATTAATCAAAAGAACGCCACACCGACATGCCCAGAGACCATGCCAGCTGACTCAAGGTGGTATCAAGCTAACAAAAACTAACCAGCACATACTTCAAATATTTTTTAATTTAAAAATATTTTATTTCATAATTAAAGGATATCTTAATTTTCTACTAAATTTTTATATAGTCAATAGGTCATAAATATATGTATAATTCCCCTACAAACATAAATACATAATAGTTTAGGCCAACCTCATTTATACTTAACAAATTTTTCTAAGGACACACATACCAGATGTTTGTCCCATCCTTGCCAAATCCCCACCCCCCCCAATATGACCCCTTTCCATAAATTCGAATTACATTTCTTTCATTTCTATCAGAAATATGAGCATTTCATTGAACTCTACAAGAATGATACCAAATCAAAGTGACAGTATTGGCAGGAAATATAGTTAGTCATCATGTAACACCAAGAGACTGGGCCAAGGATCCCTAAAGTCTCCTTCATTTTCAGGAGTTTAACATATCAGGACTGGTAACGATTCTAAAGCATGCTGGAAAGTTAACACTATATCTAATACAAAGCTTCAGGAATGCCAGGCACATCTTACTAAGTAGGAAGCAGAAAGATCAGGCTTTAGAGCGCTGGATAGAGACAGGCTTTTCCTCGGCTTCTTCAACTGAGTTTGGTGTGCAGCTTTGTCAGGCAGCGTGGTGGACAATGGGGGTGACACAGGTGCAGCCAACTTTTACCAGCATCTTCTCCAACCTGAAGGAGTTAGAACAGCCCTGGGGCTCCCGCCGAAGGACAAGGATTTCTTGCTGGATGGCAACGGAGTTCATGGAGCTGTCTTCTTGCCCCTGGGCATTGATGCAGCCTGAGTATCTGCACTGGGCCTCAGCAATCTCTGAGGGGAAGCGGTGGGGGTCTCGGGTGATGCTGAAGGAAAAAAAAAGGGGGTGGGGGATAAAAGCAGGGTGTTAAGGCCAGGTAGAGGAAGAGAGAAGGGTTTCGGCATCTCTGGGTGTTCCCCTCAGGGATGGTTCTGAGTTATAACAGGAAGCAGCACAGGCTCTGGATTCTTGGACCAAGCTCTAGCTGTTAAGTAACTTCCTGAGCCTCAGGTGTCTCCACTATAAAACGGGGTTTCTCGCATATCATCTTCTCAGAGGACTGTTGGGGATATCACGTAGCATAAGAGCATGTAAAGTAACCCCGTGAATGATGCTAGGGTTCAGTTAATCGTAGGTCTACGCTGTATTCGTGCTGTTATTATTCCGGTCATTAGCCGTCCTTTAGCAGAGATGCACATCACATCTCCCAGTAGGTAGTCCATAAAACTCACTGCTTCGAAAGGAAAATCAAAGCCACAGAGATCCATGACTCCAAAGCCTCTCTCTAGTTCTCTCCGGATACTCCCCTCTGCCTGGAGACAGGCAGCCAAGCCAGTTTGTCACAGTGCCCAAACCTGTCAAGAGGGGAGCTATGCAGCAGCCCCAGATCATGGCATTTTCCCTGGAATCTGTTTTAATGGGGGTATTTGAAGGGTGTAGGTGGGTTCTGATTGTTCCCAGGACCTAAATCTTAAGGCAAAATTACAAGGCTCTCCGTCCTGTTCGGCTGACCTCTGCTTCCCTGGCTGACTTTTCTTCCACATCCATCCTTACCTTCACCACTCAGAGAATAATGTCTAAGCTGAGTAGATTCCTAAACTGACTCCTCGTTTCCACTTCTCCTTACTCAGTGATAACAGTGCAAGCTAAAAAATATTGAGGCATTCAACAACAAAGGTGAACCAAGGCAAGAAAGCAGGAAAAAAGCTGAGTTCCTGGGAAAGGTGAAACTTCCATTGGAGGAAATGAATGTGAAGCCAGCCATAATAGCTCATGCCTACATCCCAGAACTCAGAAGGCTGAGGCAGAAGGATAACCATGGATGTGAGGGTAGCCTGAGCTACCTGGTAAATTTCAGAGCAAACTGAGCTACAAAGTGAAACCTCTATCTCATTAAAAAAAAAAAAAAAAAAGGTGACTTTGGGTCCTGAATTTTCAAAAAAAAAAGGGTTTTAAATTAAAAAAATTTTAGCATTTTTTTTTAATTTTTTTTTTTTTTTTTTTTTTTTTTTTTTTTTGGTTTTGTTTTGTTTTTTCAAGGCAGGGTTTCACTATGTAGCTCTGGCTGTCCTGGAACTCAGTATGTAGACCAGGCTGGCCTTGCACTCAGAGATCTGACTCTGCCTCCTAAGTGCTGAGACTAAAGGCATGCACCATTACACCTTGTCTGGCATATTCTTCAGTGGAATATGTATCTTCCTTGACTCACTTGTAATCCCACGGGGAGCTGGAGCGGTTCTGGAAGTCATGTGGAGCAGAAATGCCCTGGTTTTGATTGAAGATACGAATGTCAACTCTCACACTATTATCGTCCAGAGGAGGGCAATTCCCAGCCTTCCGGGAGGCAGTAACCCCTGTTTTGGGGTTCTTACGAGCAGCTGCACCACTCAGGATGGCAAGAAGACCCAACATCAACAGTAGCAGGGACTTGACCTAGAAAATAGACAAGATTGCCTCAGGTTAGTGCCCTGATGGTGTGTAATGTTAACTGAACTCTGTATGTAGAGTCACTTTATGGGGTCAAGGTTTCTTTCTTTTTATGATAAGATCATGCCAGGTCATCACTGACAATGGAAACCCTCAAATCTGATGTTATCAGGGTACAAAACAGAAAATCTGGTAATTAAAGCCCTCTTGACTTTATCTCTAGCCTTATATTCCACAAAGCCTTTCTCCAAGATATCCCTCCAAATCCCATCACACAGTCAAGACCCCATTCATATGTAGTTTGGATAGAACCGTTTTTTTTTTATCAACACTAAATAATAATTATTTTATAATTTATCACTCAAGAAGCATTTTTATGTTCTCTAAACATGCAGTATTTGTGTTCTTATCAGACTTAAAACTGTTTGAGTAAAACTTCCTGTAAGAGAATGTACATAGCAAGAGTGTTCCAAAAAAAAAAAAAAAAAAAAAACTTTCTGAATGAATGAAAGAATGGATAAGTAAATGAATGAACAGGGCAGCACAGTTAAATTAAGCAATATAGTTAAGCTATGCTCATTGAGTAAAAGATTATGCAAAACCAACCACAGCAAGCTTCCAATTATCCAAGCTAATTGAAAGGCCCAGACACTAATGGAGCACAACAACAGAGCGTAGAACCCATTTCTTTTAGCTCTGGAATATGCATTTTTCTATACTTACACTGCGATCACTTTAACTGGTGTGGCAAAAACACCCAGAGAAAGTTCTCAGTGAAGATCAAACCAGAAGAATAACTAAAACCTCAACACCTTCCCCTTTTTGCAAGCCTCCTTTGCCCACAGCACAATCCCTGTTCACTGTTACTGGTGACGGACAAGCCCAGCATAAGGCAGAAGAGCTAAAGCTGAGCTTTTCATTTCTGGGCTCCGTTGTTCGGGTTTACACTGTGTTAGTAGGGAAAGTGATTATGCAAGTTGGATGAAAATCCCTGCCTTATATTTTATACATACTGGAGGCAAGAAATGCCCAGAACAAACAGAAAGTGTCAACCTGCTGTACTAAGATCACTGATGATAAGTTGAAAGCATGATGCAGGATGAGACAGATTTGCATCCAGATAATCAGCCGGAATATGCCTTCACCTCCACAATCTTTCATTCATTCAACAAGTCCTTGAGGCCACAGTGTTATGGTCTGGGGCATTATCTCTAGAGTCATGGACTATCTGGGGTCCATAACTCAATTCCAGGACTCGGCCCACCGTGACTTGGTTCCTACATCCATATAAATCCCAAAAAGCCCTGTAAGCATGAGGTAAGGATTTGATGCAGATAACAACAGGCGTCGACTGACATTGCACTTCGCATGAGTGGATGTGGAATGAGGTCTCACAAGTGCTCTGAAGTGTAGAAAACACAGTCATATCTATCAACCACTTCTTTAGGTTTCTTAAGGAAATTTCTCCTTTGAATCCTCTCTTTCCTTTGGTATATCAGGTTCATTAGCTCACTTCTAATTTTAATTATCAAGACTGAAAGTCACTATAGCTTGGGGTTACGTGATTAGCGGTAACTGTTATGGTGGTTTGAATGAGAATCCACCCCCACCCCCATTAGGCTCATGTTTGAATATATGAATCCCCAGTTGGTGGAATTGCTTGGGAAGGATCAGGACACATGGTCTTGTTGGGGGAGGTGTGCCCCTGGAGTGGGCTCTGAGGTTTCAAAACTCGTATGTCATTCCCAGTTAGCTCTTTCTACCTCAGGGACATGTCTCAGGATGTGAGCTCTCAGCTACTGCTCTAGCACCATGCCTGCCCGCATGCAGCCACAGTGATCATGGAGTTTAGCCGTAGGAAACTGTAAGCCCCAAGTTGAACACGTTCTTTGTATATGTTGCCTTGATCATGGTGTTTTATCATAGCAATAGAAAAGTAGCTAAGACAACTACCATGGCCCTAACATTGTTTTTCTTAATATTCATGGGATATTTTAGAAAACATTTTCACACCTCTTTAAATACTAGATTCTGAAAGCTGCCCTGTGAAGTAGACAGAACTCATTTTAATTATCTGATCAGCTAGGTGAAGGACTTATGTCTGAGAGGCAATAAACAGCTTGGCAGAGCTCCCCATCCCCTTTGTGCCAGTCTACAGCTCCGCCTTCCATGGCAACGCTCAGTCTTAGCCACTGAAGGTCATTACTACTATTCTCCACATTAATCTTAGCTGTGTCTTCTTACAGGAGCCAAGAATTCTAAACACCCTGTTCACTGCATCAGAAAGACAGTGCTATTGAAAACCACATGGCCTTAGTCAGGAAATCAGGTGCTAGCAGCAAATCACAGCTTGCTTCATGCCAACATTGTTGTTAGCGTTTTGGAGCTCTGATAAGGCTGGTGCGGAGTCTGGAGAACTATCCTAGCAATACTTCTCCCTATGGAAGTTAGGAGTGTTTGCCAGGCTTGAGTTCATATATGGCACCTTTAAAGCAGGCTAATCGAGATATACGGTCCTCACCCTGTAGAATGGGAAACCAGTGGGAGAATACTGAAGCTGAAGGTGGTCGGTTGTAGAATGTGAACCTTCTTGGCTTAGCTTTGTACATTACTCCAGTGTGAGCTCAGCTGAGAGAGCATCTACACGCTTGCCCCTACCTTTCCCTGTAGTCTGTAAACTCCCCACACAGGAATGGGCTACAGAACCTGGTCAGCCCCACACTCCATCTAAATTTACCTCAGTTACCCACAGAGTGTGTCCTCTCTGCTTGCCCCTCCTAACTCAATCCTATCTCAATGCTACACCCACAAAGAAACAGGAATGGTTTGTAGCATTAAAGTAGCCAAAGGATTTGCTTGGATACAGTGGTGTTAGGTTGAGAATGTTGCCTCTCGATCATCCACAGGGAAGCCTTTGACTGTTGGGAGCCAGAACACCCAGCTTCAGGTCTCAGATCTGCACCACAGTATCAAATAACAGCAAACAAAAAACAAATGACTGAGCTCTTTTGCATTGTGTAATGGGGAAAATGTTCATTATCTATTTCTGTGGGTTGATGAGATTATGAGAGGTAATAATATTAACACCGAGCCGGGCTTGGTGGCACACACCTTTAATTCCATCACTCCAGAGAGGAAAGCAAAAAAGCTGGACAGTTCCAGACCAGTTTGAGCCCACCGAGCGGACTCAAGACTATCGTGGGCCACACAGGAAGATCTTATCTCAAAAAGCATAAACAATAATATTAAGAATTAATATCTCTATGCTCTTTTCTACATTTACTGCTTAGAGCAAATTAGTGTCCAAATTAACTAAAAAAACTAAGCTTAAATGGTCTACCTTACAAGTATAGATTCATATAGATATATGAATCCCTTCCCCCAAAATGCTGTGAAGGAGACACCATAATTATGACGTTGCACAGGTGAGAAAATTAAAATTCACGAAGGATGATGACTAATTCCCAAATTCCACACTTAGCAGGTAGCAAAGCCAGATTTTTCTGACTCTCAAAGCCTTGAGTCCCTCAGTGCTGTACTTTGGTGGCTTGTTGTACTCACTAAAACAACATACTAGTAATTAATTAAGTATCATTGTCAGAAAGCATGAGCCATTCGTAAAAGCTATGCTCTTTTAAGTTGCAAGGTTTATACAAGGAAAATCGGTGGACTACCAAAACCAGTAACAGCGCTGCGATCTCCTAAGTCTAGTTCCATGTGACAGGCATGGTTCCAGGTCTAAGGAGTGAGGACTAGAATTCTATGACACTGACATCCCACTAGCTTCAAGAAGAAATGAGACCATGCAAATTAATTAATCAACCAGTTATCAAAGACAAGAAATACTTCTCCAGGAGCTGTCCAAAAGTTTAACACTGAGTGGGTCTACTTCCTCCACTCAAAGTACTACTGTAGACTTGGAAGAACCAAACTGGGTTCCCTGCTTCCTTGGGACATATGTTAATAGTAATGTATATTGTATATATTGTGATATTACAGATATATCTATTCTTTGGATATATGTATGTATACATATATGTGTGTGTATTATATATGTATATACGTGGCAGGCTCTTGTTTTAGGCTGTAGACAGTAGATAAGAGAGACCATGGCAGTCACTTATGATGCCAGAAACACCCACAAACCCACCTGAGCAAAATCTATCCGGTAAGATCATATGCTTTCTTCCCCTTGTAACTTTTCTGTTATTGGTGGGATTTTTTTTCTTTTTCTCCACCAGACAAATAAAAATTAGGTTTAACTTCACTTTTTTAAAGAACTAATTCACAAGAGTCCACAAATGTTCAAAGCCTTAGAAATCTACCTGTGCTTTAAAGCCTAGACACAGTTAACCCTCCTAGGGCTATCAGCACCACTCACCATGGCTGTCTCGCAGGGGCCTTTCATGCTTGTTTCTTGCTGGCTGCTGCTTTGCTCAGGAAGCACTTTCTTCTGAGTATGTCCCCACTGGTATGTCATTGACAGCACCTGTCAGTTTTATAGCAATCACTGTCCCTGTTTCCACTGACCTCCTTACTGTCTGTAAGTTGTGGTTGACCCAGAGTGACTGACGAATGCAGGTTTTTTTTTCTACTCCACTTCCTGAAGGGGAATCAAAGGGGGACCCTGAAGGGGGATGACGAAAAATGGATCAGATCTTCCTTTCCTTCTACTCCCCACTTCCACTCCCATTACCTTTACTACAGACATGAACCAAGTCACAGATTACGGTCACAATCTTTAATTCTCCCACAAATCATCAGCACCCTTGTCACGCACTGTGGGTTCTATTTTCAGGTCACACAATAGAATCAATCCATGATTGAAATCGGGTAAGTCATCCTTACCACGCCTTGGTTTTAAACACTGTAGATGGGGAAATAAAATGAAAGAAATGACTGATGTCAGTGGGGGAATCAGAAATTACATCCCCAGGTAGTTTTGTGGTTTCTCTAAACTATGACAAGACCCCTACTGTGCTTAACAAATCACCATTCACACAGTATATGTGGCTATTATCTTGGCTATCTGTGATTGAGGACCATTTCTGTTAGCTGAAATGAATTAGGAAATGGAAGACTTTAAATGCTCTTGTGCAGTGTGTAGACTTGTAAAAAAAAAAAAAAACTCATTTGTCTCTGTTTAGATTCAGGCAATACACATTTGTCAAGTATATGCATTTTACTCTAGGGAGAGACCGTCATTCCTTCAGATCAGATCCAAGCAGTAAGCATTTGTCAAGCACATGCATTTATGCTAGGGAAGCACAATCATTTTCCTCCCTCGAAAACTCCAGTACTTTACTTCTTAAAAATCTCTATTATGATCAGGTAAAACTTTCTACACTTTGCCCAATTGTGTGTTTGTGAGTCAATCACCATCTCCTACAAAATGAAGCTTCCCCAAATGTAGGGAATGGGGGTGGAATTGATCAAAACTATATATTCATGTATAAAACTCTATAACAATAATTTTTGTTGTTGATGTTTTATTTTTCTAGACAGGGTTTCTCTCTGTATCTTAGCTGTGGTCTAGAGCTTAAGGCTGTTGTCCTCAGCCTTTTCAATGTGTTTGAAAAAAAATCTTCATTTTCTTTAATTGAAGAGCACCCACAACTGATCACTGTTCTGTTATGGCATGGCTTACACCCACACTACTCTCTGTGCCCGTGGAGGCTTTCTGGCCGTCTTCTTGGCAGCTGTCAGAAGTTCAGCTCCTACCAAGAAGCTTCTCAGTAAGCTCAAACTCTGTCTAGATTTGCCTGCTTGTGTTCGGTATTGTTCTCTAAGATTTTAATGGAATATCTTCAGTCCCTCCCAAATGCACAGCCTCAAATATGCAATCTACATTACACAGTGTATTTTTGTGCAAACACAGGTTCAATATAAGAGCTTTAGCCAGACTGAAATCTCCATTTTAAGGCCTCCCCACATATGACAGCTCCTGTACACAGTGAAACGGGCTTCATGAAGTCAAGAAGCATTCCTTTGCTCATGATACCAAACCAATCTACGCGTGAGAATAACCTGGAATAAACTGGGTAGACTGAGGCGCTCGCTGTTACTTCTGGATCTTCACAGCCAAAGGATTGTGTGTTGTGGCTTGGTGTCCACTGTAGCAGGGTTCAGAGGTGGGAGCTTGTGAGGTGGATTTTCATGACTCTTGCTTCATCAATTGAATAAGCCTTTATAGATTTATAGCTATTTTCTTAGTTTTACTTATTAGCTTAAATGTGAGTTGTCCAGAACTCTGATCATTGGATATTTTACATGAGTGCACATGTACACACATACACAAAGAAAGAGAGAGATCTGGCTAGCATATAAAATACTAAATTTCATTACAACATTCTTCTTTCTTTTTCTTTTTTTTTTTCTTTTCTTTTTTGGTTTTTCAAGACAGGGTTTCTCTGTGTGGCTCTGACTGTCCTGAAACTCGCTCTGTAGATCAGGCTGGCCTCAAACTCAGAGATCCTCGTGCCTCAGAGTATTGAGAGTAAAAGCATGTTCTGCCACTGTCAAGCTTCACTATGACATTCTCATGGATGTATTAAATTTTTAACTTAATGGACTATGAGAAGATGGCAGAAATAGACAGGTAGGGACTAATAGGAAGCTGGTCACTGGGAGAGTAGAATTGAGAAATTTGTTCCGAGTTCCTTCTGCTCCATCCTTCCCCCTCTCTTTTTACATTATCCTTTGGAAACACCATGGAATAAACAGCATTGCCCTCCCACATACTCAAGAACGATGCACAAGGTTCCTGCCTTGTCCTTGCCAAGAAACCTGACGTCACAGGACCATAGGCTAAAACCCCTGAAACCATGAGCCAAAATGTCTTTATGCCTTTAGGTTGATTGTTAGGTGTGTTGCCACAGCTTGTTAACGTGCTTACTTTCCTCAGTAGACTGTCCCATCAAGGCCATGCTTCGCTGCACAGAGTCTAACAAACACCCTGAAAGAAAGAGCTAAAACCACCAGACTCAGTAGGGAAGGGTTTGCTGGGGTGCAGGGGAAGAATAAAGCAGCACCTTCCACTAGAAGGAAACAGCATTAATTTGTGACCAAAACACTGTTCCCAGCAGAGGGAAAACAACTGATAACTGCGGTCATTCATCTTGCCTGTATTTAGTCAGGATTTCTTCCCATTGAAAAACAAAAGTGTTTATCCTATGGACACCAGAATGAATATATGATACGTAGACAGCCAACCCTGCTGAGTGCACTTCTCTGACCTCGTGTCATCACCAGCTTTGAGAGTTTCAGAAATTCGCTAAAGCTGTGTCATTCAACACACAGTCTCCACTCTGCTCCAGAGCCCACAGAAAGCAAGCAGCAGATAAACTGTGATATCAGGGGTGACTTATACACAGCCTCACTCATGACACAATACTACAGCTGGCAAAACATTCAGACTGACCAGTGTTTTATGCCCTACTATGTGCTTGGAGTCATAATACATTTTTTTTTTACAGGATACTGTTCCAGGGAATAGTCTGTACTATTACAAAATCTAGTTACACAGTAAAAATTATCGCACATATATTAACCAATAAGATAACAGAATGAAATAGTTAGAGATCTTGGTGGCATAAATATAAATATTTAATGTTACACATCCAACTTCAAGAGACTTTGCCCTCATTTTATAAAGGTGAATCTAGTCAAGATATAAAGCTATAGGGAGATGGCTCGAGGGTAAGGGACTTGCTGTGAAAGCAAGAGGATCTGAGTTCAAATCCTCAGCACCCATGTAAAAGCTGGGCATGCTTGTACTCCCAGAATCAAGGGACAGAGTCAGATTGGTTGTGGGAGTTTGCTGGCCAGCCACCCTGGCCCAACACAAGCTTCAGTCTCAAGGAGTGACTTATCTTAAAATAATAATAACAGCAAGGCCAAAAGCCATTCTCTGATCTCTGCTTGTATGTGTCCAAGCACACAAGGGTACATATACTACACACACACACACACACACATACACACAGAGAGAGAGAGAGAGAGAGAGAGGTACAGCACAGTAGTATACCTGAAAATACAAAAATTAATGTCTTAAAATAAGGTGCCAATATAACATAAGCATAAACAACTTAATTATACTTTGGGCAGTTAAATTACAGGTCAGATAAATGATGATCTGGGTTATAATATAATGCAATCCGTTTAATAGAAAGTTGCAATAACTTGAAAGGCAGATATTGTACCTAACTAATTTGTAGCCTTAGAGAAAGAGATTAGAAAACAGAACCTTATTTGTGCATGCTCGATTTTCTCAATTGTCAAAAGTAACACAAGAAGGAAATTGAGTATGGTACATGACTGAAACGCTTGCAAATGAAATAAAGAAGTCCAGAAGTCCAGAGTCCTGCAAGACTGGAAAGCAGAAACAGGTCTTTCTACCCACCAAAAATAAGACAAGTTCAAAAAGGTTTCTGTGAGAAATGCTCAGGCATACCTTTCAAGCCAAACAAATTTCCCAAGGGTGAAAATCAGAATGAAACATGAAATAATTGGACGCAGGAACTCAGAATAAAATGTGTATGAATACCATTCTGGCAATGCTCATTAAGTAAGGAGAGTTGCAGGAATGCAAGAAAGAAACATAAGTGTTCTAAGAGTCATGCTTTGAAAGAAGATTCTGGCTTATGTAAGAACTTTATTCAGCTTGTGAAAACATTTTCAAAATTACCCAGGAACTGATTCTTGTACCTCAACCATCAGAAGCAGGAATCAAAGCCCACTAGAATTCTTAACAACACATTTTTCTATGTATCAAAGATGTTACTAAAAGAAAAAAAAATCAATTTTTAAATACAGCCAGGGACCACAGAGAAAAGATAAGTGAGCTCCTTCCAAATCTAGAACCAAGTTCCAACAGTGTGATAATCTGTATTCCAGGTATAGGAGGCACCCACGACCCAGCTGAGCAAAGCTGCAACCCCAAAGGTCTGCTGGGCTCCCATTCTTTTTCTTCCAAATAGAAACATTCCTTGTTGTTTCCTTCCTTGTATTCTTCGGTTCAGGCAATGCCCTATCAGCCAGACACTCAGACATTGTGTAATGAACCCTAGATTTACACTAGATTATTTGATTGGTACTTTAAGATGCTTTTTCTTAGGGAAGAAATGATAATGCTGTCTGTGAGAACTGAGAACAAAGTATTTGATGGAAAGATTGGTGGACGGTAGACAGCGGTAACTGTTCTCTGCTTCCAGGAATTTTTTTTCCCCTTACCCTTTGACTTGCTCTGGTCCATGAAATGTGTGAGTCACTTCCAGCCAGAAGAATGCCAAACCCATGTGTCATTCACCATGACTGCTCTTCTCAGGCCTCAGGGATTATGGAACTGTGTGGGAAGATGATAATGTGGTAAGAGGGAGGAGCCTCCATCATGCTGTGTCTCTGAGCTGG